GCTGACCAAATCTGTCCTTGGGGAACATGTATAACTTTTATTGATCCATGGGGAATTACCAGTAACTGCATAAGCAGGGGCTTTTATACAGTTAAAGGATTATCCATGTGCTGTTTCTTCAAGCTGTTTGTCTTTCAATTATACATAAACCTTTCTGACCAGGAATAATATTGTTATATACTGCATGTTTCTTGCACTGAAGAATATATACTTACTTAAAGACAGTTTGTAATTTTTTAAGGAATTTTGTCTTCTTTAACTGAAGCCAAAAACTTGTCAGAAATATTTACAACTAGGCACCAATGGCTCACACCTGTAATCCTAGCTGTTCAGGAGGCTGAGACCTGAGGACCACACAGTTCAAAGCCGGTCTAGGCAGGAAATGCTATTAAGACTCTTGTATCCAATTAAGCACCCAAAATCTGAAAATAGAGCTGTGACTCAAGTGGTAGAACATCAGCTTTGAGCGAAACTAAGGGAGTGTGCCTAGGTCCTGGATTTAAGCCCTAGTATCAGCATGCACACACACACACACACACACACACACACACACACACACACACACACACACACTTATAACAAAGTTAGTTTTCCCTTACAGCTCATAGTAAGTTAAAAGTTAGGGAGTTTTCTGCTCACTGAGACTGAATTCATGACTCCTCCTATGTCTCAGTTATTTTTTCTAAGATTTTTGCTTTAGGTCAGCAAAATAACACTAAATTACCTATTACTATAATGTACTCACTGAGAAAAATTAGAAAATTAAGATAAGACAAAAGTCAACAAATTTCTATTTCGGCCGTGTGTGTGTGTGTGTGTGTGTGTGTGTGTGTGTGTGTGTGTGTGTGTGTGATTAAATTTGATTCCATGTATTTAATAAATACCAAATTTTACATACTTTATTACTCCAAGAAGTTTACATGTCCTATTTTTATTATACAACCATATTTTCATCTTTTTTTTGTTGTTGTTGGTCGTGGGGCCTGAACTCTGAGCCTGGGTGCTGTCCCTCAGCTCTTCAGCTCAAGGCTAGCACTCTACCACTTGAGCCACAGTGCCATTTCTGGCTTTTACTGCTTATGTGGTACTGAGGAAGAACCCAAGATCTCATGCATGCAACGCAAGCACTCTACCACTGAGCCACCTTCCCAGCCCCCATATTTTATTCTTAATTGCCGCAAACCTCTGTGCACTGGTTATTTTGAAGGTCGGGTCTTGCTTTCTGCCCAGGCCAACCATGAGCTGTGATCCTCCTACTTGTGTTTCCTTGCATCGCTGTGGGTGACAGGTGTGTGTCACCATACCCAGTCATTGAGTGAGATCGATTCCCTGGAACTTTTATGGCCAGCCTAGCCATAAATCTTCAATCTCAGTCCTGAGTCTCTGTCTCCCATGTAATTAGGATTACAGGCTTGAGCCACCATGCCTGGTCTTTGTGGGCAGTTTTACATTGAGAGTTTAAAGCCATTAACTTAGAAGTAGTAAGGTTTTCCTGAGTATGAATCTGTGTCATGTAACTTAATCTTGATCATCTAGTTCTTGGGGGGTGAGGGGAATGAATAGTTTTTTTAAGAAAATATTTCAAATGCAGTCAAGTTTCTCAATATGCCATACCAGTCTTGAATCCAATGGAATCCTTACATCAGCAATAATGATGATGGAGCTTGTGGTATTTATTGATGGTGATGCTACTGATAATGATGGTGGTGGTAGTAACTAATGGTGGCTGTGATTATTGTGGTGGTGTCCAGCTAATGGTGGTGGTGGTGGTGATAGTGGTGATGAGAATGGTGGTGGAAATGGTGATAGTTATAGTGATGGTGGTATTTATAACTGTGAAGTGATGGTGATTGTGGTAGTGCTGAATGGTATGAATTAACGGTGGTGATGGTGGTAGTAGTGGTGGTTGAATTATCAGCATACATCTCCCTTTGACAGAAGGACTAAGAATCTGGCTCCTCAGTTGTCAGTCTGTGGGGCTGTAGTTAGGCTTAATTATTTTCATTCCATGTGCTATGAGATGTGAGAAAGGGTGATGGTTAGCATTGTTTCAAAGAGTTAAGGGAATGATGGGTACAAATGACTCATGCGGTACTTAACATTATAAGTACTTGAACTACAGCCGCTACAGTGGTGGTGGGTATTTTCCCCAGTTCTTCACTTAGGAGACAGCCGAGAGAGATCTAGAACTGGTCCCAGGTCCCTGGCAAGTAAGAGGTAGAGATGCAGGGCTGGAACTGGAGATTCATGGCCCCCAGCTCTGAGGCTGTAAGCCCAGTCTTAGGGCAAACATGTGGGAGGTAGGTATTTGTCAGATTGCTCTCCCACAGCTGCCCTGGGAAGGACCTATCTTTGCCTCTTGAGCCTTTCAATAAGCCCTTAAGTCTTTTAACCAATCCGCTTTCCCTTTTCTGAACTTGATCCAATCTAAATACATCCCTAGTGCCTATGAAACTTGCAAGTAGGCTTACAACACAGTACGGGGTGTTCAGAGTTTTATGAGGCGGATTAGACTTTTCCTGTCATGTGAGATGATTCTGCTGGGGCGAACCTGAAATGATCTTCATCTTCATTAACATGACCTTCATTGCAAACACTATTAATGTGTCTGTGGTCTGTCATCTCCGTCTTCATGATTCTCAAATTCACCCAAAATAACAACAAAAAATTTCTCTCTCATCTTTTCTTCCATGTACAAAATGAATTTATATTTGTTGATTTAGTGGTGGTGGTGTTGAGGGTTAAACTCAGGGCCTTCTGCTTGTTACACAAGCACTTTACCCCTTGAGCCACACTCCCAGCCTTTTTTTTTTTTTTACTTTGGTCACACGTTTTTGCCTGGTGCTGACCTCAGATTGTGATTCTCTTAGTTATCCCTCACACGTAGCTTGGCCCATAGGCAGGAACAACCATCCTGGCTTGTTGATTGAAATGGAGTGTCAGTAACCGGCTGGCTACAAACTTCAATCCTCCCAATCTCCTTCTGTCGAGTAGCTGAGATTACAAGGCTAGTACCACCACACTCAGCCTGAGGCAACTCTTTAATCCTTACCCACCCAGTTCCAAAACAGTTATATAGAAATATCCAAAATGTCTGCCTGGACCATCTCAGTCTTGTCTGTGGCTCTTTTGTTTTAGGGTGTAGGTCTGGCTGCCACCCTTCACTTTCAGCTGCCCCTAATGTCATATTTGGGGTAATGCTCATCTTCTAAGTACCTTCAGAAAGTCCTACATGCATGACACAACCATGAAACATGAACGGCTACCTTCTGAAGAAAGACATTCTGGGTTTTTACGGTTTACATTTATTACATTATTTTTTAATTATTAATGACAGATTTAGACAGTCCACTCTCAATTTTTTTAGGAAGAATGATACTGCATTTTTAGTTCTTCGTGACTATTACTCAAACATTTTTAAAAAGATCCATCTCCCCGTAGAGTCTTGATTTTATTGAAGTGAATTTCTGAGATTTACTACACCTCTTTTATAAGTATAATTGTTTTCATAGGAACTCTAAGTCAAAGTTGCAAAACAGGTAAAACTTTCGTTTCAAAGTCAAAGCAACCCAAAGGGACCAACTTAGAACTGCATATGTATACACATCTGCCTGTGTACATAAATCAATGACTATGTTTACCTATATGTGTATGCTTTATAAAAATGAGAGGGAGGAACATGTTTAGTTCAAGCATCTAAAAGATGGTTCAATAGATATATCCATGAGTCTACCTTAAGCAGGGAGCAATGTGGAGCCAGAAAAAATAGATTGTTTTCCTTGGACCATTCTGGCTTCATTATCATATTACCCAAAGAAAGGCAGTATATTACATTGCATTCCTTTCAAGAGAACAAAATAAGCTAAGGTTGACTGGATGGAGATGAAGATGGAGGTTGGATTTTCATGTTTTGTTTTGTTTTTTGAGCTCTCCCAGAATGCAGGTTGTTCAAAGTAAAACTGAATAATAAACACTGATTTTTTAAATTTAATTTTATTGTAGAGATGCTGTACAGAGGGGTTACAGTTATATGAGAAAGGCAATGAGAACATTACTTGTTGATCATTGTTACCCCTTCCCTTGTTGTCCCACTACCCATTCCCTCCCCCACCTTCTACACTCCTCCCCACCCCACCCCATTCCACTCCACCCCCTCCCAAAGTTGTAAAGTTTGTTTCCAATATACTGTCCTATGGGGATCATTGTTGCAATGGGTCATCCGGTGTCCTTGTTTCAGCAAATAAACACTGTTGTAAAACCAGATGCCAATTTACTGCAGCACAAGGTGGTTGGGTCTTAATTTTGTATTTTTTCCATAAGCTACATTTTAAGTTGCTCATTATCAGTTGGTAGGAGTGTGGTTCTCCTTGTTAGCTCAACTTCTTGTTTATTTACAAAGAGTAAAAGGAAACGTGATTCCAATAGCACTGTGTGGAGAAGAAATGTGGGGTTTTTTTTGCCATTGTTCAGGCAAGAACAGAACTTCCCTGGTGGCGTGAAGAACAGAAGGGTTTAGAAGGGCAGCCTCTGCCTGCAGTTTCCCCTGATTCAAAATGAAGATGTGATTATGCCATGAGAGCACATATTATTTGTAACCAGAGCCCAGCAAGGCCCACCCAGAAGTGGAGGGAATGGTAGAGTTTGGGTTGAACCAGTAAGAAAATTGAAGGTTCTCAATAAAGTACCAAGAATACAACTTCTGTACTTGGAGGGCTTCATGTAAGGATGAAATTGGGTTCCTTTGTGGGAAATACCTGAACTGTGTCACAGGGAGCCTTTTAATAGGGAGCATGTTTAACCCCCATTCCCAGTGGGTATGCTTCCAGTGACTAGCTCACCGATGCCCCCTGGCGGTGTCGAGCCATCTCACACTTTATTGCCTTGGGTCCAACACCTCTGTGTTGGACAGGGCAAACCTCCATTTCCAGGGTTGGGTATGTACATGATTTTTAGATCTTATTCAAGTTTCTTTCTCAATCTTTTTTTTTCATTTGTTTTAGGCCAAAGAACTGCCAACTTTAAAAGATAATGATTTCATTAACGAAGGCCAAAAGATTTACATTGATGACAGCAACAAAAAAGTATTCCTGGAAAAACTGAAAAAGGATGTTGAGGTAAGAAAAATCAACAAGAAGGACAGCTCCATGGTATCAGGGTCACTTCTGTTCACTTTTAGGAGCTTTTTAATCCACAGCAAACCATACACACACACACACACACACACACACACACATACACACACACACACACATTCCAGCTCACTTACAAACAGATAGACATTACCTTATATCGGTTTTTAAATGTAGTATGCCAGAGTCCCAGATGATAGATCAGAAACATCAGTTGTCATCTGCTGGGTGGGGACATCCTTGGGGTCCCCTGCCTGCACACAGCATCTATGCAGAGTATGAGAGGACCAGCATACCACTCAAGGCTAATAAGCTGTCTTCAGTCAGCTCATGTTTTAATATTCCTACCAGTCATCATAAACACGGTCCTGGGGTCAGAGAGCCAGGCTTGCTCCACCACAGGACTTAGCATGGAGCACTGTGGCACAGAGTTATGGAGAGGGTAATTTGAAATAAGACCCAGTGTTCTAAAGGGCTTAGTGTATCGTGAACGAGATTCCTCTTTAAGTACTGTTTTGTTTTAGGAATTGTTTTTAATCCTCCTCTTCCTGTCATTTTGCTTAGTGTAAAGGCACTACAGCTTTCCTATTGGGCTTCCTTAGTTAATTCTTTGAGAACTAAACTCAGATATGGATGTTATTGAGTTAAAATGCAAAAAGAATTCTAATTCAGGCAATCACTGAACTAGGGTTCTCTTGCCCGCAACTTGTTTATAGATATGTGCTTTTTCTTTTTTTTACTTTGAAATCCTGTTCCCACACAGTCAGGTCTGCCCCTTAGAGGGAACTTTGTGGAAAGATTTTCTTGTCCATGTCATTAAACAAAATCGATTAAAATGACTAGAGCCAAGGAATGAATGCCATGCATTTGATTCTTCACCAAGGGACAAGTAGTGTTTTAATTTACTTTTTAATCATCTACCAGCTCTTTTCATTGCAAAACACTGGAGCTTAGCGAGTTCATTCCTTTTTTTTTTTCTTTTTGGTGCCTATCCTGGGGCTTGAACTCAGGGTCTGGGTGCAATCTCTGAGTTTTTTTTTTTTTTTCCCTCAAGGTTTGTACTCTATAACTTGAGCTACAGCTCCACTTCCAGCTTTTTGGTGTTTGATTGAAGATTAAGAGTCTCAAAGTCTTTCCTATCCAGGCAGACTTTGAATTAGGATCCTCAGATCTCAGCTCATTGAGTAGCTATGATTACAGGCATAAGCCACCAGCACCCTGATTGTTCCTAGTTATTGTTCAATCATTTAATAAACTTTTCTACATCATTTTAATTGCCATGATGTATACACTTGGATTTAAACATTAGTATTGTATTTGGCGGGGGGGATACAAATTTCTAGTTTCAAAACAAAACTAAATACAAGCATTTCTTTTTACCATATAACATCTACTCTTCAGTCTCTTATTAATAAGCATTTTTTCTCAGTTGTCAGGGTGATTATTTAAATGCATATTAGTTAAGTATTTCCTATTTACATTGGGGTCCAATTTGATCCCAATTGATAATTAAGCATTGTGCCAGAAGAAAAATATTCTCCTTTGAGTTTTTGCTGATTAATCAACAAATCGTTGGTCTTGAGAAGTAATACTGGTTTAGAAATTATAGTAAATAACCCTTCCAGTTATCTATGACTTGCCCCTGCCAAAAAAAAAATCTTTTTTCTCTTTTCTTCTTTTTGACTTTGTATCACAAATCACATGTAGCCTCCAGAAAGAATGTAATTCAAGCAGTTCAAACTGGCATTTGAACTGCATGAGGATCCTCTTAAGCCTTTTGTTGTCTCTAATAATGTTGTTGATTAAAGGATTGGATAGTTTAATCCCCGTACATGGCTCTCACACTCAGCTGTTTTGTTGAGAGGTAGGCCGGGCATAAAGTGTTCTTTCATTAAAAATTTTTCTCAATGGCTGATAACAGTGTCTTTAGTTTCAAAATTCATGCAGGAGAGGAGCATCATTAAATTTTTAAGCAGGTAATTGTGGTGAAATAGCTTGACATCTGATCCTGACAGTGAGACTAGAATTTAATCGAGTTTTATTTTTCCATGAGCTCCAGGCTTTCTAATTTAGCTGACTGGTCTAACGGTTAAAGTTGCACCATGTTGGGTTTTTTTCAGTTTGGTTTTGTTCGGGGGAGTTATTTTCATAAGGCTTAATAGAATATTTGAGTTTATTATAGCTCAATAAATGATTTTTTTCTCAAGAAAAGAATTGTCCAGAGAGCTTTGCACAAAATAAACATATAAACCCTTTCTGAGAGAGGAGAAGAAGAGGAGGAAAAGGAGGAGAAGGAAGAAGAAGAAGAGAATACTATATTCAGACCAGGACTTGAGGACATACTCCTAACTACACTGACATAAAACATAACATTGGCATAAAATTATACAAGTTAAAGATGTTCATGATAACGCAGTAGCTGCTTTGCTCTCTGAAAGCAAGCTCCAAAGGAGGAAGGCAGTAAGTTTAAACAAGTGGTCAAACACTACACAGGGCTGATGGGAATTCTGGTTTAACAACCAGATGTGTTGGAGGTAGCAGTTCTAGTAGAACAAGTGTGTTAAGAAAGTTAACAAGTTGACATCATTGAAATCTGTTGTGAAAATAGTTGATTCACTGCATCTTGGGCCACACCATTTGGTAGAAGAGGTGGTGACAGGGCTCATAAAGATAGTGAGGAAGACACTGGATCACAGCTTTGGCACAGGCTGGGTATATAGCTCAATGGTAGAAAGTGCATTTAACCCACTTGACGCTCTGGCACCAAAAAGAACAAAAGGGGGAAACAAAACATAATTGGCCTAATGATGAATTAATTATTGAAGGATCCAATTAGATGAGATACTGTAAGTGTAAAAGAGATAGATCCTCAGCCTGGCACAGACAATTATGAAGACCTTAAAAACCAAGAAAATCAGGGGAGCCTAAAATTTAAGTCTTCATACTTTGAATTCTTCTGTACGTAAAAAATAAATAATAGATAAGAATTTTAAAGGGATGAGCAATAAAACAAAAAGGTGGCTATATCTTGAGTTGCCGATATTCACCAGAAACTGACCCCACATCTGAGTTCTAGGCCCCATGCTGGGTCTTCTTCCATTTCTGCCCAGTCCTATAGACTTGAAAACCTAAGACTGGGTGAGATGGCATGCGTTTCCCTGAAGCACTGTGTTTTACTTCACCCAGGGCTTCAGGGACATCATCACAGGAACTCATCTCCCTTTATTTCTTCCTTACTGGAAGAGAAGCCAAATCAGGGTCTGACCACAGGTTGGAGACTCGGGGAGGCTGCTCAGGGCATCCTGACATAGGAGACCACCCTCAGGAAGGACAACTCTGCCCAGACACACATGGCTTAATGAGTCCAGCCAGCCCTGTCACCACCCTTGCTTGTCCTGTCAGGTTAGTGACAGGCAAGCCCCTGACTCTTATACCAAAGGCACACTCAAAGTGTATTTGGAGGTCAGCCATGTGAAGGTGAAACATGTTTTTGAAGGTCAGCCCTGTGCAGCTTAACGGTGTTATTTAAAAGCCAGCCATGGGAAAGTTGAAAATGTATTTGGTAAGCCATGTGAAGGTCAAAGTATATTTGGAGGTTAGCCATGTGAAGGTCAGAATTTTACTTGGAGGTCAACCACGTGAAGGTCTAAGTAGAAAGTGCACTGCAGATAAGCCAGCTGCGCTGTGATCAATCTCATTGTACTTCACAACGCTGTTGCCTCTTGCTGCTGCAAAGGGATTTTGTTACTGCTTTGCTGTTTGTTTTTGTTTGATGTTGGTAGTGTAGTGGGGGAAGTGGATGGATAGGAAAGAAGCAGAAATTGCATTCACTCATTTATTGGCTTGTGGGGAGCCCAGCACCTGCCAGGGGTCAGGAATACAAGGGAGAAAGAACAGCCAGAGCTCCTCTGGTTGACGAGAGGACTAACTCAGATACCCCTACAAAATGAGCTGAGCCCCAGGGGTGGAGGGGAAGGATACCCCAGAGGAAGGTCCTGACAGAAGCACCTGTGTTCAGATGAGATCAGAGAGGATAGGAGAGGGGACAGTAGAGCCAAGGTCCCCGTGGGGGGAGTATTGTTTATACTCTGGTAAATGGCTCTAAACCAGATTTGCAGCTTGAAAACACCTTCCCTTTCCAGGAGGCTAGAAGGGGGAGTTCAGGGTGCCCCTGGTTCTTTTCCATCTCCCAGGGACCTCGCAAGTGCCCAGAGAGAGCAGGGATGAGGAGAAGGGGACTTTTCCCTGCCACACAGCAAAGCTGAGGCAGCGAGGTGAAGTCTCCATCCTCCCTTTCTGTCCCCTAGCCCAGCACTCTGAGGCGTACATTTGTCATCTGGTCACCCAGCACTGCCTCAGCCCCTGGAGAGGCCTTCAGGATGAAGGTGGTCAGAGGCCCTAAGTGCAGGGCTCAAAGCCAGGTACATACTAGGTGGAGCAGGGGCAGTGAAGGAGACAAAAAAGACCCTGACTGACCTGCCTCTCTAGGAGCCCAGAGGCTGAGTTCAGTCTCTCCGGAGCCTTGGACCCACAAATAGGGCAGAAATGGCTCACAGTGTGCACTTAGTTATGATTTCCAAATGTGCTTCCAAGATAGGAGACCCCAGGTATTCTGAGGGGGAGCAGCATCCCTTATTGACATGGACAGGTCTTCAGGAACCCTGGACTTTAACTCTTTCTCTTCCAGCATGAGCTTTGGAGAAAGCTGCTTTAACAAAACCTCCAGCAGTAGCATGACTCCTGAACCCACTCCCTCACTTGAAGTCTGTGGACTTGTCCCCACCTTCCCAAGCCTGTCTACCATCTCAGTGAGCACCCAGAGCCTGGCCTTGAGACTGGTCAGCTGTCCCCAGAGCCCATAGCATTCAGTTCTTATCCATATCCTGGGCCCCAGGGAAAGCAGAGCAGGTCATTGACCATGGTTACAGACAGGTCCTGTGTTGGTAAAAGATTCAAGCACTTTATACATTTGCTTGCCCAATCAGCCATGATGTGGGGATTCGTGAGGATGGCTGTCCACACATATTCCTAGCCAGATGTCCCTGAAACCTAATACTGTCAGGACCCCCCGGAAGGATGGCAGTCTGGCACTAAGAAGGGAGCCTGGGGACAGTAGAGACAGTAAAAAGTCCATTCTTGCCATCACTAGAAGAAGGAAGGGACAGGGAAGAGTGGCTGCTTCTTCAACCGCATGGATTAAACATGAGTCCAGCCTCTGCTTTTAAATAAGCCCATTTTTCCTACCTTACTACAGTATCTGAATATCAAACTTGTGTAAGGTTTCTCTGTTCTGCCCCTTTCAAAGCCTAAAAATTGGGCTTCCACACAGGTACTCAGAAACACAGATTAGAAGGATGGATCAAGGTAAAAAACAAAACAAAACTCTAGTGCGATTCCCATCTCAATGAAGAAGCCAGATATGAGAGTTCACATAATAATCTCACCTACATAATCTCACCTACATGTGAGTAAGAATATCAAGGTCTAAAGCCAGACCCTATCTGAAGCCTAACCTAAAGCAAAGAGCTGGTGACTCATGCCTGTGATCCTAGCTGCTCAGGAAGCTGAGATTTGAAGGTTACAGTTCAAAGCCAGGCCAGGCAGGAAATTTTGAAACTTTTCTTTTTATTTTTTTTGGTTGGTCGTTGAGCTTGGACTCTAGGCCTGAACGCTGTCCCTCAGCTCTTCAGCTCAAGGCTAGAGCTCTACCACTTGAGCCACACAGCACCACTTCTAGTTTTCTGAGTAGTTTATTGGAGATAAGAGTCTCACAGACTTTCCTGCCCGGGCTGGCTTTGAATCATGATCCTCAGATCTCAGTCTCCTGAGTAGCTAGGATTACAGGCATGAGCCACCAGCACTCAGCTTCTGTGAAACTTTTACCTCCAGTTAACCACCAAAAAGCTGCAACTGGAGTTGTGGCTCACTTGACAGAGTGCTTGAGCATAAAAGCAGAGGGATAACATCCAGACCCTGAGTTCAAGTCCAGTACTGGCACCAAAATTGAGAGAGGGAGGGTGGAAGAGAGAGAAAGGAAAGAAGAATAAGGAAAGAAAGAAAGAAAGAAAGAAAGAAAGAGGAAGGAAGTAAAGAAAGAAAGGAAGGAGAAGGAGGAGGGGGGAAAGAAGGAAGGAAGAAAGAAAGGAAGAAAACAAGGAAGGAAGGAAACCAAGAACTTGGCAGGCCTGGGTAGCCAGACTCACAGGGCTTTACATTCCAGCTGTGGCTGGACCAGCACAGAATAAGAGGAAGTTTGGTGTGTGGCTCTTCGAAGGTAGCAAAGTACCTTCATCTTCTGTCCCCTCCTCCCTTCCCTCAGAGGGAAGTGAGCTAAGGACAGAGGGGCTTCATTGCTCACTGAAGCAAATGATTGAAACATTTGGGCTGTGATGGAGTACAAGAACCCTTCCTGGCCAGTGTACAGAATTTCAAAGTGCTTTCCAAACTATTCTGAGGCTCTGCCGGAGCTACTTGGGAGGCCCCTGCTATTTCCCAATCGCTGGCTTCATTGTTGGGAGAAACTTGCCCTTCCCTCCCTCCTGGGCTTGTTCATGCTGGGCATGCTCTCTGCTCTCCAGTGTAACCCAGCCTCAGTGATTCGTGCAAGCCTCCACCTCCAGCTTTGCATTTCAGGGCAAATAATCTGAGCTCAGAACCAGCTGGAAGTGTGAGGCTGGGTTTTAATGGAAGAAGTAACTGCCTGGGATTTTGGGAGCATCATGGAAGAGGATCTGGGGTGGGGACCTCCATGACCCCCTTGTACCTCCCCCTCCAGGGTTGTCTCCCATGCATGTTAAGTTTATGGTCTTTTGTGTGTGTGTGTGCCAGGCCTGGGGCTTGAACTTAAGGCCTGGGTGCTGTCCCTGGCTGTTTTGCTCAAGGCTAGCCCTCAACCCCTTGAGCCACAGCTCCACATCCAGATTTGTGGTGGGTTAGTGGAGTAAGAGTCTCCCAGGCTTTTCTGTCCCAACTGGTTTTGAACACAATCCGTAGATCTCAGGCTCTGGAACAGCTAGGATTACAGGTGTGAGCCATTGGCATTAGGCTTTGAGTTCATGTTCTTTAAATCTGGATGGTTACAAAGGTACAGATGACTGACTTGATGCCTCTCCCCCACCTCTAAACCCCCAGTTTCTCGCCCAGTTAAAGCTCATGGATTACAGTCTTCTGGTGGGAATTCATGATGTGGAAAGAGCGGAGCAAGAAGAGGTGGAGTGTGAGGAGAACGAAGGCGAGGAGGAGGGGGAGAGCGATGGCACACACCCCATCGGGACCCCACCAGACAGTCCTGGAAACACTCTCAACAGCTCACCACCCTTGGCTCCCGGCGAGTTCGATCCAAGTATTGATGTCTATGGAATTAAATGCCATGAGAGTAAGCTTAGTGACTAGCAATTCTTTTGCATGTGCAGTGAATGGGTTGATCTTTGCAGTGTGATCTCTGTGTCATCATAACCCCAATTACAAGAATGCTTCTCTGCGGGACCAGTCCTGCAGCATACAGGTGCATTGATTTGGGGACTGGAGTGTGAAGAAGGAATGGAAATCTCTGCTATTGAATTCTGTGATGTTAAGTGATGAAATGGAACTGTCACACAGTCTTCTACTACCTATCTACCTATGTTTGTATGTGTTTGTATGTGTGTATGTGTGTGTATAATCATTTACCCATGTTTATAGATAACATATAAAAGAAATGATGGGCTGGGAATGTGGCTGAGTGGTAGAGTGCTTGCCTAGTATGAAGCCTGGATGAAGCCCTGGGTTCGATTCCTTAGTAACTCATAAACAGAAACGGCTAGAAATGGCACTGTGGCTCAAGTGGTAGAGTGCTAGCCTTGAGCAAAAGAAGCTCAGGGACAGTGCCCAGGCCCTGAGTTCAAGCCCCAGAACTGGCAAAAAAAAAAAAAAATAACACTTTAAATCTTATTTTAAACTATTTTCTTTCTCTCTTTTTTTTTATTTTTTCTTTTCTTTTTTTTTCATTGCTAGCTGGTACTGGGGCTTGAACTCAGGGCCTGGGCACTGTCCCTTAGCTTTTTCACTCAAGACTGGCAATGTACTACTTGAACTACACTGAGTTTTTGTGATTGGAGATGAGAGTCTCACAGACTTTTCTGTACAGACTGGATTCACACCATGATCCTCAGATTTCAGCCTCCAGAATAACTAGGCTTCTAGGGGTAAGCCACTGGCACTCAGCCTTTATCTGTTTTCTAAGTCAGTAGTATCACAAATCATTTCTGCATTATGCACTGTGACCCTCAGGTGGCTGTCCAGTGGAGCAGGTATGCTGTGGCCAACAGCCACACTTGCGTGTGAGTGAGAATCTGATCTGCCCCCATCTGTCCTCTACAATCCTCCCCTGGAAAGAGGCCTATGACCCTCTTTTCTAGAGTAGGACCCAGCATAATCTTGGAAGTCTAAGTGATTGGGCATCTAAAGAAATATTACTTCTATCTTAGCTGTGTATCCATGAAGGAAAAAAAATAGTGGTATAATAAAAATAGCCTCTTGTTTTCTAAAAAATAAACATGTGGTTCATTAATTTTTTTTAATCTCCAATGACACACCAACAAAGTGGGCCTGAGTTGAGTTTTGCTCCCTTTTACTCACCAACGTTGCTTTTTGCAACTTAGAAAATTAGATATCATGGGATATCCATTTCTTACCATCCATAATTGAAAAACAGTTTTGAGAATATGTAGAAAGTAGTTAATGAAGATGATAAAAAGCCTTGATGTAGTTCTAATTTCATATGCAATGAGACAAGAGAGCTGTGAAGTGTGCATTTATGGTAGGAAAGGATCAATAGCATAATGGTTGTGCTGGCTTTATAAAGCACTTTTTTTTTATAAAGCACATTTTTTTGTATACACCAGTTACTAGTAAAGAAAGCTGTCATTAAAGAGTTGGCAAACAGAAACATTTGTTCCTACCTGGTATTGGTAGTTCATGCCTGTAATTCTAGCTTCTCAGGAAGCTGAGTGAGGATCTAGGTTTAAAACCAGCCTGAGCAGACAACTCAGAAACACTGTTCATCTCCAATGAACCAGCAGAAAGCCAGAAGTGGAGAGTTGCCTTGAGTGGCAGAGTAGCAGCCTTGAGTCAAAAAGTCAAGCAACTGTATGAGGCCCTGAGTTCAAGCCCCAGGACCAACCCCCCAATATAAAACACTTGTTCTCATTTGGACCTTCACTGACAATCGCCTACACTGTTAGGATGCTCCTTTGGTTGGTTGGTTGGTTTTAACTTTTTAAACTGACGAGAATTGGGTACAAGGAGCCAAGCAGGCTGCTGGAGTTGAGCTTCTTTTTGAGCTCTCTCACTCCTGACGCCGCTGACTCTCCTTCACCCGAACCTCAGTCCTCACTCCCTGGGTACCTCATGCTTTTCCACAAGTGATTGTGCTCTCTTCCCTTTACAGACTCACCCAGGAAAGAGGTGTATTTCATGGCCATTATTGATATTCTTACTCATTATGATGCAAAAAAGAAAGCTGCCCATGCTGCAAAAACTGTTAAACATGGCGTGAGTATGGCTCTCTATTATGGGGAGAGGGGTGTTCCTTCCTGATCTCTGCTCCTTTCCGCCAAGCTATTCTGAGTCCTCCCATAATGCTTTTTTTTCTGCAGAGGTTAGGGGCTTCTCAGCCAATCCCCTGTCCCCACTCTTACCCCTCTCCTGGACCCGGGTGTGAATCACCTAGACTGGGATTTCCACACAGGGGATATTAATAGCCACCTGCATTCTAGAATATTCTATAGATTCCTCTGTTGAGAAACACAGATTGAAGTGCTGGAGACAATTTGGTGCTGCAAGGTTTCACACTGAAGGAGCATTCTCAGAATTCTGTTCTGTTCTAGTCCATTCTCACATGCAGAATTCTGCTTTTCTCATAGTGAGTGTGGTTTTTCCTAATAGAGAAATCCTTTGTGTATAATAAGATCAGCGTTTCATGATATTAGTTCCTCATTTCTATGGTGCTTGTTCAGAATCACTATTCTAGGCATATTAACTTGCTTCATCCCCATGACAAGCTAGAGTAAAACACTAGTGTGCCCCCTGGAGAAACTGAGGAAGACAGCCTCAATCAGGAGTGACGTGCCAAAGCCCATTACTAGGCAGTGATAGAAATGGGGTTCCAGCCTGGGCCAGCACTGTGTTTGGGTCTGGGTCCTTGACTAGAATCCCCACCTGTCTGGCTGAACTTCATATATGGTGGTGTGTCTATTTTATGCATGTATTGTAGGAACCCATCTGACCTTCTGGGTCCTAAAGAGTACAGATCAGTCAGGCTGTTTGTTCACACAGGCCGGGGTGGGGGGGTGCCTCCCGTTGATGCATGGAGTCAATTCAGACGTGCCAGAATCAGCACACAACTAAAGGCTGTCATCCCAGAACTGGGAGCAGCTTAAAACCAAATTCCATTTGCCAAAGAAATATTTCAATCCCATCCTCAACAATGGTCCTGCCATAACGGAACCCAAACCAAAGCCTCCCCCGTCCCAAGCCCAGAGAGCACAGGGAGAGAGGTGCCTTCTGAGTAGCTCTTGAGTCTCAGTCTAGTGCAGAAGCTGAGGGAGGGGCTCCAGAGGCGCCTCTGGCCATTCTCTGATGCACAGCTCTGGCTGAAAACACACATACACTGCAAAGCCAAAACTGGACAGAACCTGCACTTTCTCTCTGTATACCTGAATGAAACACCAAATAAGCGGTCCTGACGCCTTGTCTGTTGGAGCCAACCACTGGGTAGATGTTTTATAAGTGTTCCATAGTATGCATCTTATGAAATCGAAGTACACTGTGGCCCCATCAGTCCTCTTAGTTACCAGTTTACTTCTATCACTTACTTACTTACTACATGGCCTAAAATCATGGGCAGTTTACAAAACCCAGATGTTACTTTTAGCAGAGAAGTATTGAACTGGCCTACTACTGTTGACAGCCGTGTTCTGTTTTCAAGACTTGCCTCTTCAGTGAAAACCCAAACAGTCCAGGCCAGGAAGTTACAAGTTTGCCCATGAACTTGACTGTCTAAAAATAGCCCTGGTGACTTAGTTGAACTCTGCTCCTGCCCTTTGCAGGCAGCTCAGGAAACTGGCCAGGCTCTGCCTTGTGTGTGTTGGCCAGTGCTGGGTATCCAACAATAGAAGATCTCTCACTGGACTTCTGCCAAGGGCCCAGCTTCCTTGTCTGTGCAGGTCTTGCAGGAGATTCAGCCAGGAACATAGATTTCACTGGCTATAAGGTCAGGGCAAACCTGAGCAAATCCCAGGATCCATCACTTCTGCCGTCCTGGTTTGGAGCATTGAATATTTCCCTCTGTCTTAAATAAGACAGTCTTGAAACACAAGGCAATGTTTGTGTCATGAAGGCTCCCCTTTTCTCCAGATGCTTATATTTTTCTCATGTTCAAAGCCTGCCTTCCTGACTTGTGCACCTCTGGATATAAACCACACAGATGCCACTGTGTGTTGGGAATGTCCTAAGTGATTTGTTGGGTTTTGTTTTTGTTTTTTAAGTTGCAACTGCCCTAGATAAGTAATGGGAACTTATTGTGCTGTGGCCAGTCTTAGCCTGATGTTCAGACATAGATTCATAAGAACTTTGATGTATTTTGAGAGCAGAGGCTGCATAGGAGTGAATATTAATTACTAGCTTCCTGGCTAGGGTATGGCTCAGTTGTAGATGACTTGCCTAGCGTGCTCAAGGCCCTGGGTTCTGTCCCCACCACTTAAAGAAAGAAAAAAAAAAGGAAATCTTTATTTTTTACTACAATTGATACTAAGCAGTAATTTTGGGAAAACCATTAATATTATATCAATATTCCTTTCCTTTGACATTGCCCAGGCTGGTGCAGAGATCTCTACCGTGAACCCAGAGCAGTATTCAAAGCGCTTTTTGGACTTTATTGGCCACATCTTGACGTAACCTCCTGCGCAGCCTTGGACGGATATGAGCATGGGAAGGACCGGTTTTGGTGTAGGACAAAAGAAAACCAAACTCAATGAAGCACTCATCTTGCAGGAAGCAGACCTCCTTTGTTTACATCTTCAGGCTAAGATGACCGATTTGGGGGGCTACTCGCTTTAACAGCTACCTGATATTCCCCAGCCTCATTCTAGCTACTTCCACTCTGTGTGGGCGTGCGTGTGCATACACGCACATGCTCTTGTGCACATTGTTTAAATAATTAATCAAAACCGATCGGCTTGAATCAGAATGTTACAAGAAAAACCCTCCAATTCCAGCTGTGGGTAGGTGGGTGGGTGGATGGATGGATGGATGGATGGATGGATGAATGGATGGACACAATGGGGGGAGGGGAAGGGAAATGCACATCAGAGCACCTGTTGGCATCATGCAATAAACTGTGGATCAGTTTATCTTTGAATTGAAAGATGGGAGACAGTATTCATAATAATAATGATGAGGATAATGATGAGGATAATAATGATTCTGATTAAAAAGAAAACGAAAGCAAACACTTTAATGCAAAGGTAATACTTCTACACAACACGTATACACTCTCTCTCTCTCTCTCTCCTTAATAATTGCCACCAGAGCCCCCATCCCTGGGTGGAAGAATTCTGGCTGGCATCTTCATGGCCATGGGTTGTGTCCCTGGAGTGTTGGGACCCCCAGTACCCCCAGAATAACCACCCTCTTTTCCACCACAGGACTCTGTCCACATTTCCACCTCTATAAAGATGTCTAGGAAAACTGCTTGCTTTTCTTTCTTGCCTGGAGACTCTTCATTGTTACACCAGTATGTTGTAGGTATTCATGCTACAAAATAAAAACAAAGCTTACCTGGAAGGTGCATAGTTTGGGGCAATAGTAGCTACATCTCCCTGTAGGAAGATGAACAGAATTAATATTCAATTTCTCCTGTCACTGAATGCAAATCTGAGTTGCAAAAGGTTTCTGTTTGGCCATTGTTTAAAGGATGGTATTTTGTTACCAATTATGATCTCTTTAACTGAAACCCTCAGTTTAACTGTTTACATTATTAGGAAAACAGGGATATTTTTGAATCTAAAAATTTAATAAACAGCATGTGATTTTTGAAGTTTACATGTAAAGACATTTTACAGTGCTGGTGAAAATGATTGTCACATTTACAGATGTGTCCTTCAGTAATGTTTCATGAGTGAATGTTTTGTTCAAAGTACATGGTAGGTGGTGAAAGAAAGAAAGAAAGAAAGAAAGAAAGAAAGAAAGAAAGAAAGAAAGAAAGAAAGAAAGAAAGAAAGAAAGGGAAATGATTCTTCCATTCTTTCAAATGAGCATTTATCATCCTCATTTTTTAAACAAATTTAACCCAACTCTGGTTTTGTAAATTCATTGCCCTAAACTGTGCTGATTGTGTTTAACCAAGTTAAACATTGCCCACATTGATCATGTATCTGCCAACTTTCCTTCATTTTTCTAGAAGGCATCAAGTTATAAGGTTATTAGACTTGCTTAGAGTAGGTACTCAACTTACACGCTGTGTTAAAGCTGTGCCTTTAAAACTCCTTGTTTAAAATGTAAGAAGATTTTTGTAGGCAATTCCAAAAACATGGGGAAAAATAATTCACTCTGTAATAATGACTTAAAACTCAACGAGTCTTCCTGTACGGCTGCCTTTTCCAGTCATCTTTACTTCTGGGTTCCGCAAGTTTCATTGTACCCAGCATATGCAGGCAGCCTTTGAAGCCAGCAGTAATGCCATGCGACCATTCTTTACTGACTGGGAATTCATTCTCCCAGGAAGGTAACTCCCCTGTAACATAGTCATACCCCTCTGTATTTTATGTATGTTAAGTTCATCAGTGCTATGATTTGATCGCCATCCCTACCAATAGTTAATTCTGGCCTACATCTGTTTTGTTGTTCTGAAGTTCTGCTGTGGTTCTTTTGACCCAAGACATACAAATGTGAAGCCCTGAATTAAAGATAAGGTACATATACCGAAATGGAGTAACTTGTTTCCTTTGTGGCCAATCTGTGTTTGCTTTTAGAATTTGACAAAATGCATTATTTTTGTCTGTAACCATCTCTGTTCATTTCAGGTGAGAAGCTGTTTGGACAGGATAAGGAAGTTTGTCTTGTATCTCCTAGTGCTAACAATACACTCCAGCCATGAGCCAGGCTTTACAAAATAAAGCACTTTGAGGACTCTCAAGAACGATTCTTTGCTCCTCTGTCTCCATTGCATCTCTTTCTGCTACAGACAAAATGTCACTACCATTGAGAGTATCTTTAGCCAGTCCATAAAAAAGGGGGAAAAAGTCACATGGCCTCTTTTCAGTTTCTACAGCCTTGTCCTCTCTCTACAAACTATCAAAATCACTGAGACTTCTATGCCACAGTGGGTTCAGTGAAAGATGGACAGATAGCAGGGAAGAAAAATCATGTAGTGATCAACCTTAGTTCAGTGCCAGGGTCCCAGTGATAAAGAAAGGATTGCTTGAAGGCATTTCACCATCACAGGTACTCGGGGAACAAACCGCTCTGCTGTTTGTTGAAAAATGTTTTCTTTTTTTTCTTTTTTTTGGTAAATCATGGGGCCTGAACTCAGAGTCTGGGCACTGTCCTTGAGCTTTTCTGCTCAAGGCTAGCATTCTATTACTTTGAACCACAGCTCCACTTCATTTTCTGGTGGTTCATTAGAGATAAGAGTCTCACAGATTTTCCTACCTGGGCTAGCATTGAACCATGATCCTCAGATCTCAGCCTCCTGAGTAACTAGGATTACAGGCATAAGCCACCAGTGCATAGTTGAAAATGTGTGTTCTAATATGATTCATCTGTTAGGAAATAACCAATACACATTGCAAGTTGGTAGTATACAATTGGGTATACAAGGAACCTTAGGTCAACACAGAAAAATGTTCTCAGTTGTACTGAGCCACATAGGAGATAACACACATGAGTTTACATGCATACACACACTGCAAACACCTACCAGAACCTCTGATCAGTGTAGTATAATGCATCACCAGCATCTGTGGAGTTACAGCTTTCTGCCTAACATCAGATCACCTTCATCCCCTTTGTAGTTACTCAGAGCTGCAAACCTCCTGAAAGCTACCATTAAGCCTTTGGCAAGGTCACCTGCATTGTTTACATTCTATCTCCTTGCTATGTAGCATGTTGGAAAATGTATTAGTGTTTGATTGATTTCTAAAAATAAAAAAATAAAAAGACTTACTTCACTGGTAAAGCATGGAGACATTATGACTCTAGTTCCATTTTCACTAGAAGTTCCATGATTTCTTTCTACATGCTTTTGGGATTTCCAGATATAAATGGCTAATTACAGAACTGACTGGTCAGCAGGAAGCTTTAATCCTGTATTCTTTGTGGATAATTTGAATGTGGATGCATTTTCCTTTCATTTGGGTTATTTAATTCCTAGGATTGAATTTTTTCCTCATCCCAGGAAAATCAATTTATTTTAATTCAAAATAAAACAAAGGTTGGTATGAAGAGTTAACCTTTTAATGTAGCACTTTGGAAACCAATGGTTAAGAGTTTAAGTGTCTGAGTGCAGTAGTGTTTGCCTATAGTCTCAGCATTTGGGAGGCTGAGTTAGTATGATCCCTGAATCTAGGAGTTCAAGACCATCATGGGCAACATAACAAGACTTTCTCTCAAGAATAAAGATTAAAAAAAAGGAATGGCAGGGGCTGGGAAGGTGGCTCAGTGGGAGAGTGCTTGCCTTGCATGCTTGAGGCCCTGGGTTTGATTCCTCAGCACCACATAAGCAGAAAAAGCCGGAAGTGGTGCTATGGCTCAAGTGGTAGAGCGCTAGCCTTGGGCTGAAGAGCTGAGGGACAGCGCCCAGGCCCAGAGTTCAGGCCGCACAACTGACAAAAAAAAAAAAAAGTCAAGAAATAAGAAGCAATATGAAATAAAGTGCTAATGTGGCTAGTGTGTTTGTGTCTGTAAAGGGGCCCAGAGGTCAGGCATGGAATTAAACTCTGAAACTCTTAATATCAGTGGGCTCTTGAGCCTACCAGCACCATTTCACACAGCCTTTCTAGAAATGTTTAACTGGCATGAAATGAGTGATCATAGCGATGATTGCACATGTATACCCTTTGAGCTCTCAAAATAATTGGCCCCCATGTCTTCATTTATTCCTGTCTTCTTAAATAGCATTTTATTCAGCCTCATGCATAAAATGTGGAGATTACTTTGTTAAACCATAAAATTTGTTCTCTCTGAAGAGCAGAAATTCTGCTATGCTTTTTAAATTCCTTTGCTCAGGAATCACCTGCTGTTATGGTTTGAACACCCATCCAAGGCTGACAGCTTGTTCTTCAATCGGTGTTACTATTCGAAGTCATAGAACCTTTTAGGAGGCAGGTCCTAATGGGAGGGAGTTAGATCATTGGGCACATGCTGTTGAAGAGGTATTGCTAGCTCTTTCCTGTCTTTTTTTTTTTTTTAACATCCTGGCCACCATAAAGTGAGCAACCATCCTCTGACATACGCTTACACCATGGTGTACTAGCCCAAAGCAACAGGACCAAATGACCTTAGATTGAAACCTCTGAACCCTTTTAATAGCCTTAGGGAATGGAAAGCTAACACACCCATATAACGTTGTTCATCCTCTGGCCAGTCTTCCATTTGGTTCCCTTTTTCCTGAACTTGTATCTTTAAAGTATCAGCATATTGAAGAGACACACATAGTAAAGTGGGCCTGACCATTGACATAGATTGGGGAAATTAGAGTTCATGACTTAACCTAGAGTGATTATTGAAAATTCTTTCATAAAAGGAAACTAAAGAGTACAGTAGGTGCATTTTTATCAAAACGGAATGCCTTTCAGAAGTTTATCCTAGTTCTATTTTTTTTTTTTTGGGTCCGGTCGTGGGGCTTGAACTCTGGGCCTGGGCGCTGTCCCTCAGCTCTTCAGCTCAAGGCTAGCGCTCTACCACTTGAGCCACAGCGCCACTTCCGGCTTTTTTTTCTTTTGCTTATGTGGTGCTGAGGAATCGAACCCAGGGCCTCAGGCTTGCAAGGCAAGCGCTCTACCACTGAGCCACCTTCCCAGCCCCTATCCTAGTTCTATTTTTGTAGTTCTATGAAAATCCTGCCAAAGGGCAGTTAAACATCCATAATCTGTAATTTC